GGTGCTGAGCATGCCCTCTCATTCATCCCGGCAAGCCTAATTAGGACATGGTGAGGGAGGTTGCAGTTACCAACGAGGCCCCTAAGACTTTCCCTACTACCTAACTCGCTCACATATCCCCTCACCTCAGATACTATATCTAAATCCGGGTCATAACACCCATCTACCCTATTCCCAGCCTCCAAAATGTTGGAGGGAATCTCATCTTCTTCCTCTTCTACCACCCTATGATCCCTCCTCTCCTCCACCGTCCTCTCCGAACTAGTTGGAGATGGACTGCTCTCCGAATCCATACTACCGTAATCCAGGGGCATCACTTCGCTCCCCACTACACTCATGGCCTCTTCTGAAGACATCTCAATTTCTACATATAGGGGGATGAGGAACGATGTCAGGACCCTTAACAATTCCAACACACTCAACACATTCTCACTCCCAACCCTAATTTCCTCCAAAAAACCCAAAATCAACCACAGAAAGGGAGAAAGGAGAACACCACTTTGACAAAATCAAAGTAAAAAATCCATAAACTTTACCTATTTTTGGACTTGGAAACTGTTGTTGAAGTCTTGATCAAAGCGCAAACCGCACGAAACCGCAGAGATTTAGCAGAAATTTCACAAGGATGTACTAGCAAAATAACGAGAGTAAAAAAGTCCCCTTTTACAGAAGTGTAGCCTTTTATACCAAAGGCAAAATACGCCCCAATGGCCTTGATTAACTCAATCTAACGGCTGCAGAGACACTGTTTCGAATTCGACGGTTAACAATTAAATGACACCGTTTCGAACTCGACGGTTCGCTTTTTAAATCTGCCCGTTGGACTGTCGCAGTTATCTTTTACAGCGGCATTTATTACGCACGTCATTCAGAGGACAACTGTCGCGTCACGTGCCGCGTCTTAGTCAGACTTCTCAGACGGGCCCACTTAAGCCCATTTCCACACTCTTTTCCACTTTTGTACATTTTAAATTTCGGCAAGTGTTTTACTTCGGCAACTGACCTGATCGCTACGGCCACAATGACACAATGTCACACGTTTTACTTCGGCTACGACCACAGTGACACAATGTCACACGTTTTACTTCGGTTCCGGCCACAGTGACACAAGGTCACATGTTTTACTTCGGCTCCGGCCACAGTGACCCAGTGTCATTTACTTCGGCTCCAGCCTCAGTGACCCAGTGTCACATGTTTTTGCTTCGGCTTCGGCCACAGTGACCCAGTGTCACACGTTTCACTTCGGCTACGGCCACAGTGACCCAGTGTCACACGTTTCACTTTGGCTCCGGCCACAACAGTGACCCCGTCTCACATATTTTACTTTGGCTCTGGCCACTATGACTACGATCATTATTTTTATTGCGGCTCCAGCCACTGTTCCTTGCTATGGCTCTTTATTTCATTATCCGCTACGGCTATACATACTTTTGCGGTACTAATTTCCGTTTTTATCTTTGTAACTTATCTATCTTGTATCTTCTTTCACTCCTATTTATGCACTACCCCTATCACTCCCAATAACATCATTCACAAATGAATGACTTCAAGGGGGGGAATAGTGTAAGGGCAGGTCCGAGGTGCTCAACCTCGAACGTACGGCAGTAATTCTTTTACAACCGAAGTAAGAAATAAATCTAGAGCTTCCCTCTCGAACAGTAGCATAGCAGTTACGATGGACATCCTCACATCAAATCTCAAATATCTTGCTTGGCTCAATCTCTGGGTCCCAAAATAACTGCTTGGAGATACGCATCAAATCCCGAAATAACTGCCTGGAGATACACATCAGATCCCGAATATTTTGCTTGGCATGCCACGTGGTTTCTTCATGGGAACATATAAATACCCCTTAAGGGCCACGCCAAAAGGTAATTGAAACCAACCCTAAGCTCCTTGTTTCTCCGCTCTAAAGGTAGCCCCGATTATTGCTGACTTAAGCATCGGAGTGTCTACCCCGAGGATCCACCTCGGGGCTTTGCAGGTCAATCCAGAGTGCAAATACGGACTGAAGAAGGACTTCTGGTTTGGTGCAGTTACAGGTACCCATTGAGTATGTGTGAAATTATTTGTGTTAAGTATCTGGTAAAATTTTAGGTTAAAAGATGATGAACATGAAGCATTAAAATTATTTATATTGAAATAATATCAAAAGGATACAAAATTACATTTTTAGTATAGTTTAAATTACCTCTTAATCATTTAAACGAATCGTATATGTTATAATTAAATGTATTAACTTTGGTTGGAAGACCAAAAGAAAATCTCCAGTTGAAATCATTTGATTTAAAAATATAAGTTAAGATCTTTTAAAAGATTAAAAAATATGATACCTTGCTAATTGAAGTAATTTTATTATTAATATAAAAAATTTTTACACCCTTATAATAAAAGTTTAAATTTGTCCTCCTTTCTTATCCTTCTTCCCCTTAAACCTACACCACTTATTCTAGTACGTTTAAAAAAAAAAAAAAAAACCCTCAAAATCTATTCATTACAAGTTGGTGTAACTGGCAAAGTAAGAAAATATTTGTGGCTGTCGTAGGGCCAGAGACCCCGCCAGCATTTGCCTGTTCATTACTTTCCAATGAGGGCATTTCTTCTTAGCAAAACCATTCCATAAGTCCCTCAACTTACCCCATTATAGTTGACAAGCACTTGAATAAAAAAATAAGCAAATAAGTCTTCCAACTTAGATATTATAGCAAATTAGCCCTTAATTAACTTCTGTTGTTAGATATAACTGTGATGGTAGTTAAAAGAAACGGGATGCATTAGGAAATGACTAATTGTAATTCAGCCTTTAAATTAATTAAATTTCAAACAAAATAAGTCTCTAAACTTCACCAAAATGTTAAAGATAACTAATTTTCTCATTGAACATTTTTTCATCATCCATTAAGTTTGATATTGATTATTCAATAAAATCATGTCAATTAATTAAAAAAAGAGCTCTCCGTACATTGCACCTAGATATCAATTTCAATTTAAATTAACTAAAATCACAATTTGAAAATGATTTTGTTGATAATGAACTTGTGATTTTAGTTACTTTAAACCGAAATTGATATCTAGGTAATGTAGATCATTTTTTTCTTAATTAATTAATAAGATTTTATTAGATAATCAATGGTAAACTTATTGGATAATGAAAAAATGTTCAATGGTCTAGAAAATTGGTTATCTTTAACACTTGTTTGAATTTTGATTAATTTAAGGACTAAATTGCAATTAGTCATTTTCTTTTAATGCATCTCATTTCTTCTAACCACCATAACAGTTACATCTAACAGCAGAAGTTAATTAAAGGTTAATTTGCTGCAATATCTAATTAAGTTGAGGGTTTATTCATTTATTTTTTTAGTTTTAGGGCTTATTAGCTAAAATGGGATAAGTTAAGGTGCTTAAGAAACGGTTTACCCTTTTTTTTGGGGTACGTGGTAGGATGGACAATAAAACAAAGGATGGCTCTTCCATCTCCACACCCGAAGAGAACGCGGTTTTACCTTTTTTTTCTCCTTCAAACCAATGCTTCCTAGATTTTAATTTAATATTCACACAAATCATTTTGTCTTAACGAGTAGATAGAGCGCATTTGTAAAGATTTTGTGTGATTGGATTGGATAGCCAACTCTACCATTACTGTTATATAACCTTTTGATATTGCAATTTATGATTAATGATTAGTAATGTTGTTTAAATTATTACATAATAATATTATATAATAATTAATAATTGTTATTTATCATCATTTTGTGTTGTTTTATACTTATTTTATAATTATTTGTTAATTTTAGGATTATATGGTATAGAGGTTGAAATTTATCAAGTAGCAAATATTGATTTTAATTATTGTTTAGTTATATAATAATTAATAATTTTCATTTACCATCAAATAACAAGTAAGAAGTAATTCATAAAGTATCGAACAGTTTTTCCTTAACACTAAAAGAATTTATGATCTAACCAGAGAAAAAGGACATATCCAGGTTTGAAGTGGCAGCTTGAGTGGGATCATAGGGTTTCTAGGGTTTAATTCTTTTCTCTCAATTCATGAAGTTTTGGCTTCTGGGGTTGTTATCGATGGCATTGGGATTTCTTTTTGTTGTGCTCTTGTGGGATGGAATAGGGTGGAGTGACTGTTGTAAGTGAATGGTGTTTTGTTTGAGATGATGGATGCAGTAGAGGTTTTGCGAGGTGATGGTAGTATGGTGGACTCCAGGGCAGTAATAGGCAAGCTTTTACTGTTGTCAGTAGCAGAGGTTTATGCTATGTTCTTGGGACTGCTAGTTTTGGAGGAGGTTTTATGCGGCCACCCTTGTTTATGGGAGTCCAACGGTTGAAGCGGTGGGTGGGGTGAAGAGATTGGTGGGCCGATTTGTGTGTATCATGGTGCTGGTGCCGATTTGGATGTGGGAGGTGGTGGTCTCCCATCATCATATTTCTGGCCGCATGGCAGAGGCACGTCTTAGCTGGACATTGGGGAGCGACTTTCTTTGGGTGATTGCAGGATCTAGGGCCTTCATGGAAAAAACGGAAAATAAAATTCCTGCTTTTTTAGAAAATGATTTGATGTATCCGAAGTTTATGGAGTTTCTAACAAATGCAAGGTTTCAATTAGGAGAGTTGGCATGCAAATTTCTAGGTATGGTGGCAGGAAGGGTAGAGGTTTATCTTTTGATATTTACACATGTCCCTTGACCATAAATATCAAAAAAAAAAGAAAAAAGAAAAAAAGAAAAGAAAAGTGCATGTCCCTTACTGTACGCTTTTAATATTTATAAAGTTTATTTTCATAAAAAAAATTAAAAGAGTTCATTGTTTTTATTTGTATTGTTCTTGTTATCATTATACAATACAAATGAAACATTCCTTTGTTATTTTTTTAGGAGATAAATTAATTTCTTATTTTCAAATATAAGGCAAATATTATAAATTTCTCTATTTATTAATTTCTAATTATGACTTAGCAAATTTTTATTAAATTAGAAAATTTGTTATCGACACATTAAATAACAAAAAGAAAAAGAAATGAACAAGTTAATGAAAAAAAAAAAAGAGGGTAGAAGTCATGCCTTAATTATTTTACAATTAAATTTGTCATAATAATTTAAAATTTTCTATTCATTAGCAATTTGAAACATAAAAGTAATTTAAGGAGTTTTTTTTTTTTTCAATATGCTAACAAATTGAGTTTTAACCACTAATTACTACTCTCAAATTGTTGAATAAAAAAGTTTAACGAACACCTAACACTTACCAATTGGTAAAAAGAAAATAACATATCAAACAGTATAGTGATTTGAATGGCATCCCTATTCTCTATTTCCAAACCTCTATACAAAATAAAAAACAATCCTTTTGTGAACAAAGGTTTTAGCCTTAGGTTTAAATATATTTATTCTTATGTAGTACTATACAAAGGGCAAATTTAGGTTGTATATTTAGTTCATTTTGTCTTGTTTTATAGTTTACAATTTAATTTATTTTCACAAATTGCACTATTTCGAGAAAGGCTTTAACTTTATATTTTGTTTGTTTCAACTTGTGAAACATTTCTGGTCTTAGTTTCTATTTTATTGTTTTGTTTTCCAAAATTATTCTTTCATTCTTTTATTTTTTGAAATTTGGGTTTAGGGTATTTTATGCATTGAGGCATAAGATTTGAGTAATTCCATTTTTTAAAAGAAGTAAAGGCAATTTCATCTTTTTCTCTCTTTTTTTTTTTTTTCTCTTTATTCGTATGCATGCTTTATCGTTGTATTCTTTTTTAAAAAATTATTTTTCTTATTTTTTATTTGCAATTTATATGTTGTCTTCATACTAATAAAAAATTATGGATGTTGAAGAGGAAAATAATTGATAAAACCTTTGATTTAACACTTGTTTGATTTCCTTATTAAAATATAATATAAATATAATCAATTTTTACATATTATATATATGATTGCATTCTAAATTTATTTGCTTTTAATTTTAAACTAAAAAATAATAATTTTTTAATAAATATTTTGTATAATATTTTAAATTGAATGGTGTATCAATCAGTGTCTAATTGAAAATTAAGCCAACCATTTTGCTTGAAAGAATTTGTCTTTTAATTTATACTTGTGCCCCTCTGGTCTCAAATTTTGAGTGAGAGACAATTCTCTTTATTATTTTTTTTATGTCAAATAATAAATTATATAATAAAAGATAACATTTTCTTTCCAAACCCCTTTTCACTTATTCTAAAATTCAAATTTGAAAATTTCAAATATAAAAACCCAAGCTTTTAACTATTGAGATATTGCTTTAAGACATCTTTTTTTTTTTTTTTTTTTTTTGGGTTTAGTGGTCAAGATTTTTCTTGTTAATTTGTGCGCAACTTGAAA